AGCTGGCTACGCCGTCGGGTTCAATCAGATCTCTCTCTCTCTCTCTCTCTCTCTCTCTCTCTCTCTCTCTCTCACACACACACACACACACACACACACACACACAGGCAGGAAGAAAGACACAGACGCGCGCACAAACACGCAAGCACTTAATGTTCAAAGCGACGTTAAACCCAACGCACTCACTCATTATAAATGAACCTCGAGAGACGTGCATACGTTTATAGCATTAGGATATACCAGCTAGCTGTCATATATCAACAAGTATAATACCTACATACATCTACATACAGCTGTGTTATACGTATTGTCTCTCCAAGGCAAAATAGGGATAATTTAAAATAGAACATATACGCTTGACCTTGACCTTTAAATAAAGCGCTTATTGATCCATAATATCATCTGAAGCCGTTTCATCAATTTCCGTCACTGTGATGTTGAGCTGGTACACGGCACGGTGTATGTTGCCGATGGCGATGACGACATCGTAATTTCTGGCCTAGTTTCGCAATCGTATGATTCAATTATGACCAATACTCGGGTCGGGAAGTACACACAACTTATAACGATAACTTGTGAAACATTGTGTGGCAGTATTTTACAGTATTTGCGTGTTGAGTTAGAACTGTTTTAAATGGAGGAGTTTTACTTCCACAAAGGCAAAATACTAGTATATTGAAGTTCACTTTTAATCAGTTCAAAATAATATAATACCGGAAATTAAAGGTGCGGAGTGAGTGAGTTAATATGGTTTTTACTCCGCTTTCAGCAATATTCCAGCAATATCACGGCACAACCAAGCATACAGTGACTAGAGAAGCGTTGTATTACCGGTATACCACGTTGGAAGCGCTAATGCATACATATCAGCTGACTGACTATGGTTTTACACTGCTTTTAGCAATATCACGGCTGGGGACACCAGAAATGGGCTTCACACATTGTACCCATGTCGGGAATCGAACCCGGGTCTTAGGCGTGACGAGCGAACGCTTTAACTACTAGGCTACCCGACCGCCCCATTAAAAGTGCGGAAGACAGACAGCTTTGTACACCTAATACGAACGTCAGATTACGTGAATTTACTGACGGCACAGTAAATGATGAATGATGCCAAATTCTTTTGTTGCCGTGGCGTGGAGACTTTCAGTTCATACAAATTATGGCCAAATTTTAAGACCCCAGCACACAATATTTTATTGTCCACAAGTGAGTGAGAGAATGAGTATGGTTTTACGACACTTTAAACAATATTCCCGCAATATCACGGCGGGGACAACAGTAATGGGCTTCACACATTGTACCAATGTGGGGAATCGAACCCGGGCCTTCGGCGTGACGGGAGAACGCTCTAACCAATAGGCTACCCCGCCTCCCGTCCACAAGTAAGAAATTCGCTATGTGTGTCACCTTCTTTACAGCACGAAATACACCAGATACATTGTCCTACCACACATTCATGCTTGTGGTGAATCGATAAATATACACGGAATGTTTAATATAATATCAGTTTGTACAATATATATATATATATTGTACAAACTGATATCAAAATCAATGCTGCCATCCTCACATATTGTATAAATTTGTGTGGAAATCTAATAATTAATTTATTTTTTACGAAACATTTTCACATGGAGATTTCGGATGAACGCCTTACTCGGCAATATTCCATCTTTGTGACGGCTTTCTTTGTTTGTTTGTTGTTTAACGCCACGTTGCAATATTCCAGCTATATGACGTTGGTCTGTAAATAATCGAGTCTGGACCTGACAATCCAGTGTTCGACATCATGAGCATCGATCTACGCAATTGGGATACGATGAAATGCATGAACCAAGTCAGCGAGCCTGACTACTCGATCTCGTTAGTCGCCTCTTAAGACAAGCATTGGTTACTTAAGACCTATTCTTGTGTATATCTTCACGTATATCGATATTTAACCATGTGGAATTCACGTTTGTTTGTTGTTTACATCGCACTCAGCAATATTCAGTATTTATCATCCAAAACTGGCTCCCACGGTAGATATCGCTTGGATTAGATCAAGCGATATCTATACACTGTAGATCTACACTGTAGATATCGCTGCAATGAAATTACATCACAATGCTTTGCAGACCATTTTGACGTCACTTTTGGTTACCATAACGTCACAATCAAATGACATCACTAATGGGTCCGCTACTGAAGCTGTTAGCAGTACTTTTTACACTGAAGACACTGCTGATTACTGTCTACAAATTGAAAAAGTTGGAAGAATGATGTTGGATGATAAATAAAATCTCACCCTCGTGTCTTTTGATATCAAATATTTCAACACTCGTTGATAAAAGTGGAAAAAATCCTCGGCAAGCCTCGGAATTTTTCCACTTTTATCAGCTCGTGTTGATATATTTGATATCAAACGACACTCGGGTGAGATTCTCTATATATTATCACCCATGAGAGAAGAATGATCGTGTGATATAACTCTGATAAGTCAACACCACATGTGCATTTTAGCGATTCTCAATGCTGATTGGTCCATTGAAGCTGTATGACGTCAAAGTGCTTCATATTTGAGAAAAATACGATATGACGCCATCCATTGTTCATGACGTCTCAAATTGATTAGGGGCGGTCGGTTGGCCTAGTGGTTAAAGTGTTCGCCCGTCACGCCGAAGACCCGGGTTCGATTCCCGACATGGGTACAATGTGTGAAGCCTTTTTCTGGGGTCCCCCGCCGTGATATTGCTGGAATATTTCTAAAAACGGCGTAAAACCATACTCACTCAAATTGATTAAGCCCCTATCAAAAACCTTGATAAAAAATTTGGTAAAAGTCCATTTTGACGCATCTTCCCGAAGCAAGTGAGTTAACTGACAATAAAAGTCCAGTTTCCACCCTTGCCAAACAAGGCTGGCATTATGGAGTTACATTTTGGCTGGACTAACGAGTGGCTGGACAATTGCGTAGATCGATGCTCATGATATCAATCACTGGATTGTCTGGTACAGACTCGATTATTTAAAGACCGCCGTCATAAAGCTGGAATATTGGTGAGTGCGGCGTTAAACAACAATCAACATCAACAACGTATACCGGATTATAACTCATGTACGCAAATATTGCGAAACACGACTGTAGGATATACAACTCACAACATCACATTACCAAGATAATTACCTGTCACATCTGTTCCTGTTGGTGGCCGTATTCACACAGCATCGATCGCCGAAGAGAGTGATAGTACTCATCATGTTTCAATAATTATAACAATGGGGACGTCATCACGTTATTTATGATAGTGGTCAGCATTATATATATAGGTAGGTATCATCCTTAGGCGAGACCCGTAATGTTCCGGGGTAGAATATGTCTTCAGCAACCCATGCTTGCCGTAAAAAGCGACTATGCTTGTAAGAGGCGACTAACGGGATCGGGTGGTCAGGCTCGCTGACCTGGTTGATGCATTCAATTTCGTGGATCGATGCTCATGATGTGTATCACTGGACTGTCTGGTCCAGACTTGATTATTTACAGACCGGTGTCACATAGCTTGAATATTTGTGAGTACGGCGTTAAACAACAAAGAAACCAAACCAAACCTTTAGCGAAGTTATATTATATCCAAGGTCGACGAAACTCGACACTTTGATAACAGGAGGAATGTAATCATCTCTATGTATGTATACGCCCAATTAAATATGTTTTGTTATCGGGGATTTATTTGGTACACTCGGATCGTGTTTTGGGGAAAAGGAATCAACAGGATTTTTTTTGGTCTCAGTTATATGTACCATCCTTCTAACACGGGACCGCACCCGTTGTCTGGTAGATACAGCGTTTCTCGGACTGCGGAAGGTCTGTGGTTCGATCCCCGGCCACGCCATACAAAACGACGTTAAAAGGTGGTCAAAATATGTTCCGGCGGCCTGTATGTATTCGAATCTGGGCCGGGCAAACAAGTGGTTGACAGCAGGAGCAACTATTCGCACCATCGGGTACGATGACACACTTCATCAGCTGGCCATACATTGTCATCTGATCTTCAATTTAGACAAGCATTTGGTATTTTTGGGACCTGCTTTTACAGGAAATACCGATGAGGTCCCATTAGTGGTAGAATATGAGGTGCAGTGTAAAGACGAACGACCAGTGTGTTAAAATACACGTCTAATCAAATTACACTGATGCGCGAGAGAAATTATGTGGGAGATTACGGATAAAAAGAGATCGAGATCGTGACGTCACTTCCCAAACGTAGCTATATATGTGTTGGTGATTGAGTGCAGAGTATTTATCATAACAGACTGCACAGTGAGGTTAATATACTGGATAATCGAGGGTGAAGTAAGCCGGGCACGAACACACAATCACCAAGGTAACAGTTCAAAGAAAATTTTGTTTTCGACTCCCTTCGAATCATGATTAATATCAGAAGTCATTGTGACCATCCGATCACCATCTAATTTTGGTGTCAGTCCCGAGATACGTGGAGCAGACAAAACAGTAGTAGGAGTACATTTAACGTCACAGGGTTGCGATATACCCTGACAGACAAGTATCTCAATACCCATTTGGATTGCTTTAATTAATTAATTAACTGAGCATTGCCCGCGTAGACACAGTTTAAAATGTCCCCATTAAAGAGAATGTAATATTTTAGGGTTTCCATATGTATGAATCTATCTTCTATAAATCGACAAATATATGGAAACGAACACTCTTTAAATTTGGACTTCCATTTGTACATTCCAAGGCCGACGCTATATTATGATGCATATCAAATTCTTGATTGTGATATCTTTACTGTTCAAAATAACACACAGCTGGTCGTTAATGAGCACATATCTGACGTTTAACAAAAAAACGAGCAGCTATTTCTGTAATGTCAAATGGGTTATGCTCAGTTCGCTTCATAAACACTGCGGCACATTATGCCTTCTCAGTCATCTTGATACCTATCAGTTTTGTTTGGAGGGCTTCCTTGCATGAGTATGACGTCACGTATGTGTAGTCACGTGATCAAGCACTGTGCGTCAGTTTCAAGATGGCAGCCCCGGCACATCAGCAGAAATCTGGTGGGAAAACCGCTGGTGAACTTGTGCGAGGCCAAATATTTGAAGTGGGTCCACGATATACCAGCTTGAACTACATAGGAGAAGGAGCTTATGGCATGGTGGTGTAAGTATAAATGCATTATTGACTCTCCCGACCCCATCAACGAGGCGACCTCGTAAGACTGTTCGCCATGCAGCCCCGAGTGCGCGGTGACACCTGACTATTGACGGGGGTCCAGTGATCTCGCCAGAACGCACCCCCATGCTTCCGGGTCATCCCTCCCTTTCAACCACAAACAGTCCCTACAACACTCTCAGTCCCAGTCACCTGTCGTTAATTAAGCCATAACGCACATAGCACACCTGAAATGTTGCAGTGATGGACAGCTGTCAATCGAGAAAGTGACAGAAACTGCTCGTGCTCTGTCGCGCGTGCGGCAGCTACAGTCATACGCTCACATTCCTATGTTTACAGTAGGTTTCGCCAAACACTTATCAGCAGTTTCAGTGTCTTTTCATATGACCTAGTATACATTCCCAACGTTACAGTCGCGCGATCTTAAACGGTACACACAGGTTAGCATGCAGCAATGGTCGTTTACGAAATGTTCGACAGGCTGTATTCATTAATGGCAGTCAAATGTTTACATTTGTGAAATAATGCAGATTATTTAGGGTGAGGCGATACAGGGAACAGCCACTTAACATGCTTAAGAAATGTTGATTGCCACCAGCAACCAAGGAATCTTTGGTAATAATCTGTTCCCATCAGAAAAAAACCCCAACCTTTCCAAAAATAAACAATGTGTCATAAGGCATAATGGGTAGGGCTTTTGATATCATTTTCATTATTTTCTAAAAAACGAAATGACCCCCAAGTGCGATTTAAGGGTCTTAATGTCATGATTTGAAGCTGTCCTAAATTAGGAATAAGATAAATTACTGTTTTGTATGTTTGTCATGGTAAATAAACAGATGTCAATGTCATGTTTGCATGCCTTATGGAAAATGTACATTTTGACCATTTCTTTATAGCTGTCAACTGCAGTGGCAGATCTCTCCAAATAATACACCATCATATTGTCTGTGTTTTATTATTGATAATTTGTTTTATCGAAAAAGTGGTAATTTGTAGGAGTAATTTGATTACCAAAATCTTAATGGTTGAATATTTAGTTGTGGTAGAAAAGTCATGCTGCATTTTTGGATTAAGTTTGCACTAGTGTGAAGGCTGAACAGTGTTGTGACATGTTCTTATCTTATATAAAAGACAACCTAATGACTGTCACTGGACTGTCGGTCCGCTTGATTGAGTAGCATGATAAGACGTTCCTAATCAGACTTAGGGAACTGCCAATAATAGCAGTTGGGACCATGAGGTCGAGGTTATGTCGAGTTCATTGCTGAGGGGGGCGGTCGGGTAGCCTAGTGGTTAAAGCATTCGCTCTTTATGCCGAAGACCCGGGTTCGATTCCCGACATGGGTACAATGTGTGAAGCCCATTTCTGGTGTCCCCCGCCGTGATATTGCTGGAATATTGCTAAAAGCGGCGTAAAACCAAACTCACTCACTCACTCACTCATTGCTGAGGGCCACCCTCTTATTTTTTATCCCCCACCCCCTCCTCAGGAATTAATGTTCAAATATGTTTTATGAATTTTGATGGTATTTTGTTTCACTTTTAACATTTTAACATTTTCGGATGTCAAATGTCAATAACAATTGACATGAGTTTACAGTAGGGGTATCAAATTGATGGCACTATATGACAATGCCTCCTTGACAAATTGAATTATCAATTGTCAACATCATGTTTTGTTGCACTATCAATAGACAGCAACAAAATACAAAATAACCTTTTAATTATTTCTTTTTTATAACCCCCCCCCCCCCACACACACACACACACACACACATTGCTTTAAGAGACGTGGGTATTCACCTGATCTATTCAGAAAACCTTTATGAAATCAGACCTTTGACCATGATCAGATGTAGGAGTGTAACGCTATATTGATGTATTGTAATTCTTTGCCCTGGGTTTGTACTGGGATTGAAAGGGATTGAAAAACGCTAACGGCGTTGTCGATAGTATGCATCACAGTTGGTTTTGGTAGTCGCAATTAGTCAAAAATAAAACATAAATTATGTATCAGAAAACTCACATCAGAATTTCTATATTGATCAGCAAGGATTACAACTTCAGATTAGACCTACATCCCTTTGGTTGGTGTGGCGACAGGGAAGAAATTGCCGATTTTGACCTTGTCGGCAATACTTTCCTTATTTCTGTTACATTCATGAAAATAATTATCATGCTTAAAGTTGGTTTTATACCATCACAATACCATTACAATAGTGAAAATAACCCCAATCGTCGCTCTACAGGGATTTATCTATTGCAGCAAAAGACAGTAAAAATCCCCAATTTGAATTAAAATTTTCCCAATTCCTGAGAATTTATAAATATGAGAACAGCAAAAATCCAATTTTGAAAAATATCACAATTTTGATCTTAATTACCTGCCAAGGGCACTTAGTTTGGAATCTTAGATAAATCACTGCTCTAATCAGAGGCACCTCTCTTTACTTCCTAACAATCCTTATCTCTTCAGCATGTTCAGTGAATGTCTGGAATAATAGGACTTGTTCCTGGCTTTTTTCGACATAGGAAATCTACATGTAAGAACATAGGAGTACTTATCTCGCTGGTGTTTTTGACAAATGCAGTGGTGTGTTTTTGTTGTTGCAATATTAGTGCATTAATACTAATGTCTTTATAGGTACCCTATTTGGCAAAGTGACCGGAAACGCTGTTACATTTATCTTTCCACTGAAGTTATCTCCCTTGTTATCTCCTGTAACGAATATGCATAGATATTGGCATGCCATGATGGTGCACGATTGCAGGATTCACGCTTATCTAGTTATTATCACACATTTCAAAACAAGTTGTGCATGAAAGATCATGTAGAAAAGTAATCAAACCTGCATTTGAAATTTCACTGTGCGCGATATTTTTATTTATTGAAACTGTATTTAAATTAATCACAAAGTAATCTGTCATTAGTAGTTTGATGTAAGCAAGGTCTGTCATACTCGCGACTGTTATGTTTACTACACAAACGAAAATGAAGGATTTTTTCAAGGAAATCCCTGTGATGTATTCAAAAATGTCGATCTGGACATGAATGGAATCTTTGTCTTTGTGGTTGAGATTTTCATGCAGGTGGGACCCGTGAAGGATATACAACTCACAACATCACATTACCAAGATAATTACCTGTCACATCTGTTCCTGTTGGTGACCGTATTCACACAGTATCGATCGTGGAAGAGAGTGATAGTACTCATCATGTTTCAATAATTATAACAATGGGGACGTCATCACGTTATTTATGATAGTGGTCAGCATTATATGTATATATGTATACATATATATAGGTATCATCCTTAGGCGAGACCCGTGATGTTCCGGGGTAGAATAGGTGTTCAGCAACCTATGCTTGCTGTAAAAGGCGACTGCTTGTGGTAAGAGGTGACTAACGCGATCCGATGGTCAGGCTCGCTGACCTGGTTGATGCATGTCATCGATCCCATTTGCGTGGATCGATGCTCATGATGTCAATCACTGGATTGTCTGGTCCAGACTTGATAATTTACAGACCACCGTCTTATAGCAGGAATATTGCTGAGTGCGGCGTTAAACAACAAACAAACAACATTACACTGAGTGATATGATGTCATACTAGTGACATCCAGTATAGAATGAAACCTTGCATGGCTTACTTAGTTTTCTTTAGGGGTGACCACTTCATGTTAGCTTGTGAAGTTCCTGTGCTACATGCTTTCACTGATTGTCACATGTTCCAGTGAAGTAGTTCGATGTGAAAATACTGCTTGAGTATATACAGTTCCATGTTTTTTAAAAGCTGTTGTCAGTGGCTTCGTAAATCAGATCGACAGGTACTATATGTACGCACATGATGCGATACACGAGTGGAATGTACAACTCAAAACATCCCACTGCCCAGATAATCAGCCACCTCTGGCACATCTGTTCCACACGGTGACAATACACACAGCATTGATTGCGGAAGACAGCGATAAGGGGGCAAAATACTCATCAATGTTTCAATAATTATTACACCATCAACATCATTATTATACCCCTGATCTAAAAGGAATTTATCTATATAACATGGAATTATGTCAGTCCTTCTGTCTATCTGTCCGATCTTCTGGGGACATTTTTGCGTGCAACCTATAACTTGAAAACTACCAAACAGATTCTTTTCAAACTTGGTGAACACTTTTAATACCTATAGGAGAGGTGCAGTGTGAAGTTTCATTTCAATATTTGCATTTTCATTTTTATACTTAGAATATTTTTGCTTCAACATTTGTGCTACCCATAACTTGAAAACTGCTTCATGGATTCTTTTCAAAGATAGAGAACAGTTTCCATACTAATAGAAGAGGTGCAGTGCAAAGTTTAATTTAGATGAGTGTATTTTCTGAAAACATAGGATGTTTTTCATGTTGTGAACTTATAATTTTTTGCTTCAACATTTGTGCGACCTATAACTTAAAAGCTACTTAATGGATTCTTTTCAAATTGGAGGTACAATTTCTATATACCAATAGGAGAGGTGCAGTGCAAAGTTTCATTTCGATAAGTGGATGTTTCGGGTAAATATCGATTTTATTTTTTCATGTTTTGAACTTAGAAATATGTTGGAGTTCACTGCTGAAGTTGGGGGTATTAGTGAGTCCTACTCACTTTTTGTTTTGTTTTACATAGAATTCACCATAGAATTCCTTAGACGAATGGTCGGAGTAATATTTAAAGGTCGAAGAAAGTTAACACTTTAAAAACAGGACCAATTCAATCATCTGTACGTATACACCAACTATTGGTAACCATATCAGGGATTAATCTAGCCTAGCTCCGATGCTGATATTTGTCAACAAGTCAGCAGCAAATGTCAGTAAAAATTCCCAAATTGGAGTTATATAATTCACAGTTGTGTTAATGTAGTTGTGACTAATGTTCTGGCTTGTGACTTGTATTTCACTGATAACAGGGCCAATAAAGGGGAAGAGCATTAAAAATAACATCC